AACCGACTTCTCGTCAGAAGACTTCGCAAATTGACGTTTCTTTACGTCAACGAAGACGAGAAGCGCTTCCGAGATCTCGTCCAAAGTCTGGAGCCCTCTCTGGAAGCGCTCGAAGTGAATGTGATTCTCGCGAACGACGCCTTCGCTCTCATCGGACGGTTCTCGCGTCTGAAGAGTCTTCGCGTTGTTTACGACTTCTCTTCGGCCGTCGAGAGGAACCAATTCGTGGCGAAGTCCGTGAAAGCCGTGGCCGACAACTGCGGCCGACTGTCGCGCGCGTCTTTCGCCTTCACGTCTAGTCTTCTATCGATGAGTGCTTTGAAGGAAACGATGGATTGTTTCCCACTTTTCGGACGATTAAAACGTCTCGAATTACGGCTCGAATTGTACGACAAAAACGTCTTTTCCGTCGCTTCTCATGCCTTCAACCCTCGCGTCCGTCATTTGCGGCTTGACTTCGGCCCAAATAACGCCGTTTCCGACCACTTCTTCGCCCAAATCGACACAAATCTGCCGAACCTGCGCTCTCTCCGTGTCGCCAATGCTCTCATTTCGGACCAATCACTGGACGCCATCTCAAGACTCGCCAAAATCAGAGATCTCTTTATTCAAACGAAAACCTTTTGTCCGAATCGCGAGACTCTTATGCAAAGAGTGCCACAACTGAAGAACTGTCGAATCGAAGACCAAAGCGGAAGATATCGGAAGTGATTTCCTGTCAATTCTTGTCTGCAATAAAGCTATTCTTTACACCAATTCCTTGTCTCCGAAACACCAAAACTGTTTCAAAAGTCATTTTATTTGATCGCAAAACAAATTCAATTTCTCTTCAATTGTCTCCACTTTTCACACAATTCTGCGCTAATTCTGAATTCAACGCAAAGTCAATGCAATCTTTGGTTCCGATGTCTGACACCAGATGTCTGTCGGCGGTTGTGATGAACAGGACGTCAAAACACAGACCCTTTGGTGGACACGACGGCTGAGCGGACGGGCGTTCGGCACCGGAATGGCGGCCAAAGACTCGATGCGACGCTTCGGCGACGACTTGACGGAACTGTTGCTGTCGTTCCTGTCGTTGAGCGAGAAGTTGCGCTTTGAATGTGTGTCCACTCAATGGCAACGACTCGTCTTCAGACGCCATCGCGAGCTCGTCGTCAAGAACTTCTTGCATAAGATGGTCGACAGCGACGGCCAGAGAAGCGTCCGATTGGAGCGAATGGCGACAATCGTGCGGAAGTGTCGGTCTCTGGAAGCGCTGGACTTCAGTGAATGTCATTCAGTCGCCAATTATTGCCAAATGTTTGCATTGATTGCCGACAACTGTCCGCATATGACATACATTAAGTGCGATCTGAGTCTCGTCTCCGAAGACGTCTTCGAGGCGTTCGCCGCCAAACTCGGGCCACAATTGCGCGGATATGACGTCCGCGCGAACAACCAATCGGTCGAAAACACTCTCTCTCTCCGTCTTCTTCGCGTTTGTCGGCATTTGCGTGAATTGAACGCAAACTTATCGCACATTACGTCCGGAGATGAGGTGTTGGCGCGAAATCTGCGCCGAATGTCGTTCTTCTACACTCACAAAGACGTCCAGTCGTTGCGGACATTCGTCGCGCAAAACGCGGCGACTCTGAAGGCGTTGGAAGTGTTTGCCTTTGATTTGGATTCTTCTGCGACAACAGGATGTCCGCCGACAGCGAGTGGACGAACTGCGAGTCTTCGCGTTCGAAGGCCGCCATCGCTGGCCTGCGATATATCGACGACCCGTTCGCCGCTCTCTTCTGTTCGTCGCCTCTCAAGAGAACGCCTGAAATCAATAGAGGATATTATGGCCGCTGTCTGGCCGTCAATCACGTGATCCGCGAGTTCTGCCGCCGAGAGGGCGCGTCTGCGCAGGTCGTGAACATCGGCTCCGGATTCGACGCTCTCTTCTGGCGGTCTCTTCCCATTGGCCGTCAATCGCCAACCAATCACTGACTCTCTCTCTCTCTCTCTCGCAGACTGTCGGCCGAGAAGACGCCGTTCGCGCGCGTCGTCGATGTGGACACTCCTCACGTGTGCGCGCAGAAGATCCACGCCATCGACAAATGGCCGCAATTGAAGGCAGAGGTGGCGGAAGAGCGCCGCGAAGGAAGTCGTGAAGGAAGTCTTCATTCGCGGCGCTATCACTGCATCGCTTCCGACGCCACGAAAGGCCGCAAATTGACGCAACTCTTGACCGAAGAGTGCGAAGTCTCGTCTTCAGCGCCCGTCCTCTTCGTCTTTGAGTGCGTTCTCCTCTATTGGTCTAAAGACACGACCGAAGCGCTCGTCGCCACTCTCTCGCGCGCCTTCACGTCCGCCGCGTTCCTCGTGTTCGACGTCTTCAACACCGACGACCGCTTCGGTCACGTGATGCAGGAATCGCTGTCCCAGAGGGACACTCCGCTTCTGGGCGTCGCGTCGTCGCAATCGCTGGACGACTGGCGCCAGAAGTTCGTCCAAAACGGCGCCAAAAACGTGACGGTTTGGGACATGAAGACAGTCTACGAGGAACTGTTGCCGCGCGAAGACCGACAGCGCGCCGAACGCCTCGAGTTTTTGGACGAAACGGAACTCTTGACTCAACTCCTCAGTCATTACTGTCTTCTCTTTGCCTCCAATTATTGCCCCGTTTTTTGGTGACCAATAAAATCTCAAAACAAAACGCGTTTCCCTTTCAAAGCACTTCCGACTCTTCGGACCCGAAGATCACCGCCGATGCCATCAATTCAGTTGCCGTCCGAGTATGGAATCACTCGCGACACCTGGTGTCCGATTCACGCAACCAGAGGTTCTGTGGTTCGCCACCAGATGTCAGCGGCGTTGCCGTCGACCCCAAAAGCAAAGCATAAATTAGTGTCAAAAGCGATTGAAAGCATTTCTCATAGACTTCTCGTGTAATTAGGAATTCCATACATTTCTCGTTCAATGAATGCATTCTTCGACAACAGAGACCTCTTTCGGCGAAAACGAAAGCATTAATTGGATTAAAAGTAACGCAAAAAATAATTAAAATAATAAATAGGTTTTGAAAAAAAAAGTTTTTTTCTGCGAAATACTTATTTCGAGAGATTTGTGACAAAATTGGGCACAAAATGAAAACAATTTTTTATCTCGAGTCCCAAAATATGACATTTGATTGAAATGTAAGACATTTTTTGGAAATACGAGAAGTCTTTAAACAATTTTTACGTCAAACCCAATGAATGAGTTTTTCCCACAAATTTTTTTCGTCAAAACCGAAACTTATTCCTTAAAAGTCAATGACTTGTGAGAGAAGCGATTGAAAGAAGATTTTAATTGTGTTTTCGAGAAAATGTGTCAAAAAATGGAGAAAAAAGTTATCATTTTTCGCTTCATTTCTGTTCTTATTATTAAAGAATTATTGAAATGAAACGAAAGTCTGTTTTAAAGACAAAACTGTTTCTCTTTTGCGCTCAAAACGAGTCATGAATTCATTGAAAGCACTTCTGGTGTCGTTTCTCGCGCTCCACGTCTTCGCCGAAAACTACTTCTTCGTTCCCGTGAGTCCTCTTCTGAGCTCTTTTTCGTGTCCTTAAAGCCATTCCTCCGCAGAGAATGTCTTCGTATTCGCGACTTCTGTGTTCTTCAGGACTTCCGGGAACTCAACATCCGGCGCTCTGTCCGCAGCAGCAGAGGTGGCAAATGGTGCAGAGGTGGCCGCAAGAGATGTCTGTCACGCGCGACGTCCGCGTCCAGCACTCGATGCCAAACGGCGCGCCTTTCCGTCCGCTTCCGCCGAATCTCTTGCAAAGTCCTCTTCTGGCGCCGGGAGTGCATCGCGTGCACCGCCACCACCACCACCATCACGAGCACGCGGCAGAGGAGGAGCCGAAGCGCATGTTTCTGATCCCGTGGTCGTCAGAGCGCGAGAAACAACAGCCGATTGTGAACTTTATTCTCGTTCCCGAAGAGCTGTTGGAAGAAAATGCGCCGTTGGATGTGCTCGAGGAGGACAGGCCGAAGAGGCGGCGGCGCCCCACACACAGACCTCGCGAGAAGGAACGGGAGGAGCGGGAGGAGGCGCCGCCGTCGCGCAAGTTCTTCGAAACGCGTTCGCGACACTCGCAAGGCTTCAAAGAGCACTCGTCGGTAGAGAGCGGCGACCGGGAAGTGGAGGGGGGCGTGAAGGGGGCGAAAAAGGGGGCGAAAAAGGGCTGAATTTGCGCCAAAATAAAGAGTTTTCGGCAAAAGATGGCGTTTTTTGCGTTCAAATGATTTCCATATCTCTCTGAAAGCTGTGATTAGAGTATTGTTTGTGTCGTGACTGACGTCTGACTCCCACTAAACGCGAGACAACAATGCGAACGACGCCCACGACGACGACCGCCGCCGCCCTGTCGTCACGATTCAAAGGCGCGGTTTCGCGCGCTGTCGTCGCGAACATCTGCTTTTTGGTTGCGATCGCGCGACACTTCGCTAATTGGAAAACGCAATCTTCGCTACCGTTTGTCGTGATCTCGCGCTTCACGACGCGGATCTCATTCTTGCGCTTAATTAGCGCTCATTGGCTGTCTTTGGAGTCTTTGTCTCGCGAGACGACAATCGGTGTCTCAAAACCGTCTCAATCGCTGAGTCGTTGTTATCGCGCGCGAGTGTCACTCAAAACGCAATTCAAATCTTTGTCTTTCTTTTGGAATTAAAGGGAATTAAAGGAGAGATGAATGCATTGTCGCCTCGAGCGAGAGAGAGCGAGAGAGAGAGGCCTTCGCAGTGAGAGTTCTCTCTCTCGCTCTGAGATCCGGGAGAAGAGGGAAAGGGAGTGACTCTCGCGCTGAGAGCAGTGAAAGCACTCTTGGCTTCTGCTCTCCTCTACTGTGCGTTCAGTTGCGCTCCTGTGCTCGCGCTGTAAACATCTCTCAACAATGACCGCAACGTCTTCGCAGACCACAACTCATGACGTCACTCACTGTAAGTCAACAATCACTGCATCCGCGTTCACAGTGTGGGTGTGAGTGCGGGTGTGTCCGGAGTTCGCGTGAGAACAATGTTTCTTTTCCTCAGTTCCCTTGACTCCGCCCTCGAGTCCCGAAACGCCGCCAAAACGCTTCGATTTCCACCGATTCGCGGAGTCGGCGGTCGAGGGAGTCGTCGGCCGCCACTCGGCGTCCGCTCCGGCCGTCGTCTTCTCGCGCTATTCGGGGCGACCGAAGAAAGAGTTCGTTTGTCGCTTCTGTTGCCGGCGCTTCACAAAGTCCTACAATCTGCTGATCCACGAGCGCACGCATACCGACGAACGGCCCTTCGAGTGCGACGTCTGCGGGAAGGCCTTCCGACGGCAGGACCATCTCCGCGACCACCGGTCAGTATCGCAGATGTCTTTAAACACCTTTGTGTTGAGTGTTGAGAGGCAGCAAAGAGAGCACAGGTGTGTCTCTGAGCTGTCGTTCCCCTCATTCCGCTCATTATATAACGCGCCCTAAAATACTTTCGCAGATTCATTCACTCGAAGGAGAAGCCGTTCAAGTGTTTGGATTGCGGGAAAGGCTTCTGTCAGTCGCGCACTCTGGCCGTGCACCGGATCCTCCATTTGGACGATTCGCCGCACAAGTGTCCGCAATGCGGCC